ATGGTATAACATGGAGAGAATTGAACACGCTCTGAAAAACAGAGGAAGCGTCAAAGCAGTGAAGAGGAAGCTTGGGATAGGCAAAAATCGGGTGTATGAACTAAGGTACAAAGAAGGTAAAATAACTACCGATATGGATAGGATAGCTAAAATAGCAGGGGAGTTTTACAGAGATCTGTAGAGTAGCCGGGACAACCACGACCTTAATACTACAAGAACTAGCAGTAACCCAGATGACACCCTACCAGTAATTATAGAAGAAGTCAGAAAAGCGTTGGAGAGCATGCAAAGAGGCAAAGCTGCTGGTGAGGATCAGGTAACATCAGATCTGCTGAAAGATTGAAAGATGGAGGACCGGTTGTGTTAGAAAAACTAGCCACCCTGTTTACGAGGTGTCTCCTGACGGGAAGAGTACCAGTCTTGGAAGAATGCCAACATCATCTTAATACATACGAAAGGAGATGACAAGGACTTGAAGAATTACAGGCCGATCAGCTTGTTTTCTGCAGTATGCAAGCTATTTACAAAGGTAATTGCTAACAGAGTTGAGAAAACATTAGAATTCAATCAACCAAAGGAACAAGCAGGATTTCAAACAGGCTACTCAACAATCAACCGCATTTATACTATCAATCAGGTAATAAAAAAATGCTCAGAATACAGCCAACCAGTATACATAGCCTTCATTGATTACGAGAAGGCATTTGATTCAGTCGAAATATCAGCAGTCATGCACACACTGCGGAATCAGGGCGTCGATGAAGCATATATAAGCATCCTGGAAGAAATCTACAGGTGATCAACTGCTACCATAGTGCTTCATAAAGAAAGCAACAGAATACCGATCAAGAAGGGTGTAAGGCAGGGGGATACAATCTCCCCAATGCTATTTACCGTGTGCTTACAGGAGGTTTTCAGAGGCCTAGAATGGGAACAGTTAGGAATAAGATTTAATGAAGAGTACCTTAGTCATCTTCTTTTTGCCGATGACATTGCATTGCTGAGTCACTCAGGGGACGATTCGCAACTCATGATTACGGAGTTAGACAAGGAGAGCAGAAAGGTGGGTCTTAAAATTAATCTGCAGAAAACGAAAGTAATGTACAACAACCTCGGAAGCAAGCGGCGCTTCGAGATAGGTAATAGTGAACTTGAAGTTGTAAAAGACTATGTCTACTTAGGGCAGGTAATAACCGTAGAGCCTAACCACGAGATTGAAGTAACTAGAAGAATAAGAATGGGGTGGAGTACATTTGGCGAACACTCTCAAATTATGACAGGTAGATTGCCACTATCCCTCAAGAGGAAGGTATATAACAGCTGTATCTTGCCGGTACTTAGCTACGGAGCAGAAACCTGAAGACTTACAAAGAGGGTTCAGCTTAAATTGAGGACGACGCAGAGAGCAATGGGAAAAAAAATGGTAGGTGTAACCTGAAGAGACAACAAGAGAGCAGAATGGATTAGGAAACACACGGGAGGTTAAGGATATCATAGTTGAAATCAAGAAGAAGAAATGGACATGGGCCGGGCATGTAGCGCGTAGACAGGATAACCGCTGGTCATTAAGGGTAACTAACTCGATTCCCAGAGAAGGCAAGCGGCTTAGGGAAAGGCAGAAGGCTAGGTGGGCAGATGAGATTAAAAAGTTTGTGGGTATAAATTGGCAGCAGTAAGCACAGGACCAGGTAAACTGGCGGAACATGAGAGAGGCTTGCGTCCTGCAGCGGACGCAGTTAGGCTGATGATGATGATGGTGATGATGATGATTCTGTGTACCTTGCCTTGACAACGAGTAACGGCAACGTTGCAAGAACAGAGCCGTACTGCAAGATTTTTTTTTTCTTTTCTCGACGAGCCCATGCATGTTTGTACTATTTTATACCTTTGAGCTCTGATACCTTAAGCATAACGAAAATTGGGGACAGCGTTTAAAGTGCTGACGTTTGAATACATGGTGGCAAGAATGAATCTGTCAAGGTGCAACAGCTCCCTTGATTCCACAGATTAATCACGAATGTCGGCACGTAACCTTGATTTAGGTACTGTTCTGTGGAAATCACGCTGAAAAATAATGGCAGATTTATTTACACAATGTCACGAAACTGAAAACTTTAGCTGAAGTTGCCCAAGTGCTACCCTTGTAACACAAGCCACCAGCAATAAGTTTGTAGCAGAGGATGTTTGCTATTGCATAATACTAACACTACTACTGCTACTAATAATAATAATATTACTACTACTATTATTATTATCATTAAAAAAAACATGAGTAGCCCAGCAAGCTCCTGCTGATGGCAGTTCTAGCCAAGAAAAACCAGATGGCCTTCAAGCCGAGCCGAAATAGTGGCGTAGACAAACATGCATAAACTTACAGACGTGAGTAAAGTTGTGGTTCAAAAGTCAGATATGCCGTGTGATATGTCGAAGCAACAGACATCAAAATAATGGATGTACTAACATGGTAAATAAGGAATGCTTTAGCAAATGTGAAGGACAAATTTCGGAGCAAAAATTTCATTTGCCTTGTTTATGTCAGAAGCTGCACAATTGTGACAACCAGTAAGTTGGTTGTCACAATCGGTTTTTGGGACGTGTGTTAAATGTGCATATATTTACAACGACCAAAAGAATACAACAAGTTGATAGTTTGCGCTCTTTCCATTTACGCCTCTTTACTTCCTGTGTTCGTCCAATTGTAGGCACAACATTACATACTTCAGAAAATTGATGAACCAGGTGATTTTAATAAAAAAGTTAACACAAATATGTCGCCACAAAATGGCACCTGGCCTCGACTGCCCTAGCTGAACACACGGAATCTACAGACCTGTAAAACTCATGTGTTATGGACAAAGAAAAAACCTGCATCTTCCCACGGGGATGGGGGACTCGAGTAAATGCACCATGGTGTGGTGAGGATATCGCGTGAACGTTGTGTAATTGGGATTGCTTAATTGTTATTTTATCTTTATTATTCCTATTTATTGAATGAAGAAGAAGCGTTGCTTTCAACGAGTGGTGGGACACTGTTGAGTTGTGCCCTACTACTGGTTGAATGTACTGTTGCTTCTATCGCATCTACTTGAGTCAAGCAAAGTGTCAAGTCAAATGAAAGCCAAGTAAAGACGCCCTTGACTGAATTGATTGATAAATATGTGGGGTTTAACGTCCCAAAACCACCATATAATTATGAGAGACGCCATAGTGGAGGGCTCCGGAAATTTCGACCACCTGGGTTGACTGAATTCCGAACGCCCGATCGAGTGCCTACATATACGGGGTGGTTAGTGAACGGTTGTGCAGCGCGAGCAGACGAATTATACTAGTAGACGCTGCCTGTGTCGGCCTTGCGAGGTGAGAAAGTTGGGGGAGCAACAGTTGGCACGAGACAGGAGCATGCGCAGAAGAGGTGTAGACACCAATGCCGATGCCGGATTTGCGAGTAAGTGCGACTATAAAATGTTCCGCATTCAAAAAAAAACTTGCATCATGTCTGCACCTGGAATCAAGATACAGAAGACTGTATATACGCTGAACAGGAGTGATAGGACACTTGACAATGTACTCACGCTGCTTACGTTACGTATTTAGGCGTATTTAAGTACGCTGTGCCTTTCTTATGGCTTTATCATGAACAAGGCTCCCTCCCATATTGGGTACTGAAATGTCAGTAAACTTTGTGTTCTATGGGTCGGTGTATCCTTTCAAGTTTGCACTCAGAAGCAAGAGTAATGCCCTGTTTTTTTTTTTTTTTCACACGTCTTTTAGCAGCTCATTGTAGTTGCAGACGAAAATCTTTTTAAGCTTTGATCAATGGTAATGCTTATTTTTGTGATGGTCAAACGGAACTGCTGTCAGTTCCCATGACTTGGCCATGTTTTTCAGAAATTCCCATTTCTTTTTCAGAAGGGTCCGAATTCCCTGACTTTTCCAGGTTTTCTAGGTTGGTAGACACCCTGCTTAACGATAAGCATAAAAAAGAGCGATAGTGAGGTGGCCGTTGGTGATGGACGTGCCATTTTGACTTACTGCTGGCGAGCTTATCACAGTCCTCTGCAGATAACTGCTCAACAGAGTAATGGTGGTACAAGCGTGTCTTGGCGCCATTGGCAAGTTTGCCACCGCCGCATCGTGCGAAGCCACTTGTGCATGCATTGCTTGCGAAAATGAACAGGCTACCTGCCACACCCCAGCACAATCCCAAATGAATCATGCGCGAAAAATGCACAAATGTGCACGTACATTGGACTGCAAGCGAACTGGCATGCGACGGCGAGAGTAGCTAGAGTAAGTGACGTACTGCACGCAATTAGCGAGGGACGATTGGTTTAACGTGGTGGTACCGCGATTCAGTGAAACGGCGCGAGTTCATTGCGAATGAGTGTCGTTTAACACACGAAAAAGCCTAACTTGTCATCAGAGGGATTGTTCGCACTTTTTGATAAAAATACACAGAAAAAGCAGTTTGGCCACTGTGTGGCTGTTTTTATGAGCGGCTTTATATACAGTGAACTACTGATATAATGACCATTTATCGCAGCACTATTCAGTTCGTTATGAACAGGTTTGACTATATTGAGTTAGGGAGCTTCATCCTTCGAACGTGTATCGTCTATGGTGCTGAGCACGAAGAGCCAGCCACTTTTTCTTGTTTGTGGCGCCATCCAGTTCCGCAAGGAACAGTACGAGCCTAGCTCATGAAGACATTACACAGGCGTGGGCACTGTAATGATTTGAATGAAAGAGATTAGTATCTTTAACATACCCTAGCAAACAAGTGCAGCGGGCATGGTCCCAAAAGCTTTCAAACAATTAAAGATTGGCGGAATAGAGAGAGAACGAAATAGTTTCATGTTATAGCCAGCCATGGGGAGCAATATCGCCAAATGAGTCCCCCCCCCCCCCCCCCCTTTTTTTTTTTGCTTTGCCCTACACAGTTTTAGGAGGGACGCCCTCCTGTGAAAAAGTTCCCAATTGTGGATAAGAAAGCGACCCACTTGGGCACACTGTCTGTGAGAAATGAGCGGGGAAGCACGGCAGGCTTTTTGCAGCTGCTGCTGTCCAGAGGAGCAGGCACTGCTGCTGCTGTCGTCGGTGCCCCCCGACCATGAGCACTCTCCACTGCAGTGGCTGGCAGCTCCCCAGAGTACTTGATGTTGGTGTACTCTCGGCCCAACATGATGCTCTTCTGCAATAGGCATTCAACAATTAACAAACTGTATGTACAGAATAGCACTCATATACACCACCAATGGTGATGATGATGATGATGATGAAATAGTTGCATCACAAGCTTTGGAATGAGATTATGAGGTTTCAAAAAGTCTTTGCGGGCAGAACTTCTTTCAAGGGCGATTCTTTTTCCATCATTGTGATGGACTCCAGTAGTTCTGCATGATAAAATGAGTCAAGACTTGTGGTGCAACACAACACATTAATTAAAGCAGCACATGGAACTTTAAATTATACAAGTTAACAAAAAATACAATCACTGCAAACGCAAACTTAAGCTAGTAAAAACTATATAACTAAAATGGTATGCTTGTAGACTGTCAACTCCGTAACAGCTGTTGAGCAGAGCCAACCTTGCTAGGTAAAGCTGACTTGATTCATTGACAAAGTCCAGCTCATCATCAGCCTCATTCGGTCATACATACATTGTCATGATGTCCTGAATTATTTTGATATTCTCTCTGCATCTTGATGTGTCATTCGTCACTTTTGTATGCAGGTTATCATGTGGCTACTGCGAGTACCTTTTAGAGCCATTGCGCCCGATCTTGCTGGCTTCTTCACTGGTCGCCGCGTCTCGCTGTTGACATGGCGCTCCCGAGATTGCCCTCTGCGGCGAAATGCCATTCCAAGTGAATGATGTCAGGCCTAATAAGTAGTAAGGCTAGAAGCTCACTTCTTTCAAGATAGCAGCCGCTACAGCGAGTGAAGTGACGTTTGTGCTTCATGTGGCTTCAATGTGAACTTTCATGATGAGAACACAAGCCCTTTGAGCCACCTTTACAAAGCCCCACTCTAAAAATAAGCATGTAAGCATAGGCCATGTCTGAAACCAGAGACGTGCAGGCCACATCTACGCACTGCAATGAAAGGCAGCTGGGATCATGCATGCCCTTCGTGCAGTTTAGTGTATAAGAGCAAACAAGCACTGACATCAAGCTTCAAATTCGAGATGTGCCCTTCATTCACTTGCTCGGTGTGGGTAGGTCCTCTTGGCCAAATTTGAATCGCATCCGTCGCATGGAAATTATTGTATTTCGACGGCAAACAGCGTACAAGAACTTAATAGAAATGGGAGTGCCCCTGCAACATCGATACTAGTGCTATGTGTTCGGTGTGATACATTCCACACATACCATCCTGAGTGACGATGCGCTAGCAACGACGATGTCTATGATCCGAGTGCTGTTATCCTGGCGCCGAAGCCTGGAAACGCACTCACTCGTCACGTGCAATCTTCGTCACACCGCTTTAAATTGTTTCATGAAATTACCAAGATGCAAACCGGCCATAAAATATTGGCAAAAGAAAAGTTATGGGGGTTGCCCACGCGTGAATGTGGCACATTAGCGCACCATCGCCACATTTCTCTACTTGGCCCGTGCCCTTTTACTTACGACATCAAAAAGGGTTTAATGCAATTGCCCAGAAATGATTGATAACACTTTTAAATGGTGTTGAACGCCATAATATTGCTTTGTTCCTGGTGCAGTGCTGGCATTTAGTAAAGAACACATCCTGCATGTCTATGACAGAAATGAATAGGTTGTACAAGAATATGCAACACTTGGATGACAAAAGAAAGGTACTCTTTCCAGGGGAGAAGGTCCACAGCTGAATCCCGTACCTGTTCAGCCTGCATTCGCTGCTGCAATGTCTCAATGTAGTGTTCCACAGCCAAGTAAACAAACTTGTATTGGGCCTCAGTCTGTACCATGCCAGACCTCTGCATGCGCACCATCTGAATTGTCCGCTGTATGTCAATCTCGCAGCTCAGCCCTGCCGGAAAAAAAGAAAAGCGTGTCAACAGCCTGAACCCTTTATTGAATAGTAGAGCATGAAGCTTGGCAGACACTGAGTAACTAAAAGATGGAAGCTCACAGTACAGCTGTCATTGTCATAGCTGTCATCAGTAGAGGCAGGATTTTTAAACAGGACACATTAGACACCACAAGCATAGGCAAAACAAACTTTTACAGAACTGCAAATAATTTCAATAGAAATACATGTGTGACCTGAATCTCTAGACAAAAAAGCAAAAAATATTATTGCTTGTGATGGCACAAAGGGGCCAATTGTTGAACACTACCTATTCTTTTATTCTCTAAAGCATGGCAAGTCAAATGTCCCCTGTCGAATGAACACACTCTCGAGTCTTTTTCTTTTCAGCATCACTGACAAGCACAGCCAAACCACTAAGAGACAAGAAGCGGGAGAATACCTTAATTACAAACACTCGTGTGCACATTTTTCTCTTCATAGTACCCTAGAGTTATTTAAGCTCGGCTCGACTTGTCTGTTGGAAACATCACCACTATGCACCTGGTTTGCTCTGTCCTGCGCAGCGTACCCAATTGCTGAGAGGGACAGGCTACAGAGAGAAAGGAAGAGAGATTCATTCGAAGGCGAGCACTGCAATCACTCGGCTATTCACTGGAATAGAAAGGGGCTGGGAGAAGGTAAAAGAGAGAAGCGCAGCAAGGAAATTAAAGAAAGAAAACGGATAAAGAGCAAGAAATATAGAGAAGTGGAGGTGACAAACAAACAAGAGAGGAGAAGATAGAAAATAAAAAGGAGTAAATTGAAAGAAAAATAAACAGAAAGAGACAAAGAAAATAAAGATATATGAAGAAAAACAAAAAAATCATAGTTCTAACGACTGTCAAGTGTTTCAGTACGACAATAGCTTTTTAGTTTTATTCACTACCTTCCAAGTAATGGCTATTGTTGGTGTATTCAGCCGGGTGTTGAATGACTTCACACAACTGAAATTCCGAAAAATGGTGGGCTGAGGTTCGTTGACACCAGCCTAACCTTTCTAAATGGCCATGTATGTTGGCAGTATGCTCCACGCTCAGAAAAAAATGGCAGCATATCCACGGAGTGAGTGATGGGGTGTGGGGCGAAGCATCTGTCCGTCCATTCGTTATTGCTTCCATCCGTCCATGCGTCCACCTGTGTGACTGTCTGTGCGTCCATTCGCCCGCCCGTGCGTGCATCTGTTCGTGCGTCCACACGTCCATCTGTGCGCCCTTCCCTGCATTCGCCCATGCATCTGCCCCTGCGTCCATCCGTCGGTGCAGCCATCCGTGAGTTCGTCCATGCATTTGTCTGTGTGTCCGTTCGTCCATCTATTCAACACTCCAAGTACCGCCATCTCGCATCTTTTCATCATATATTCCGCATATGCACCGCCATCCAGCGGACATTCTAAGGACTAAACGAGAGGTGGCACACGCACACTTTCTTACGGCTTGCGCTTCGTGTCTACTTCCCACCTTTAACCACCTCGAGTTCATGGTAAATACTAGTTTACTGTATTCATGGCACTGCGGCTCAACGCTCGATAAACCTTTCTAAAACCAAAGAGGTTACGCCCAGCGAGTATAACGTAGCAACCCTTTCTTGTCAGATAGTGCTCAATGTACATGCCAATGGCTGCTAAGGGGGAATGAGAGACAGGAGAATTCGGCTTTTAGGTAACTTGCACGCTGCAAATTTTTTATTGTTCAACAACGCACAGAGAAATCTCTCACCAGCACCACCTTGGAGGTCAAAATGTAAGACTGGTTACACACTACTAGTACGACTACGAGGGACGAACAGGTGCCGCTATAAGGAGCTTTGCCCCTAAAAGACCTCCTTCCTTTTAGTTTTGCCCACTCTAAACCAGCACTAGGGTTCACTGCCCTCAAGAATGCCCTATCAAGACTGTGCCATCCCATGACTGACATGAGTTTAAATTTCAATGCTAGAGCAAGAATATTAGCTGACACTAGGTACCCTACCATGCTTTTAAAAGACTTCAGAGACGCTGCTGAACTCTTTTCAGAAATCAACGCAACCCAGGCGGCAACCACGTGGTTAGACCAAGACATGTGTCACCCCCACGTGCACGGCGTCTCGCACGGGATCAACAAGATTGCTATGCGCATAGGAGTAACTGTGATATTTATGGCACCTAACAAGTTCGGCCAAATATGCAGGCAAGTGAATAGGAAAGGACCCGAAAATTCCCTGTGCAGCCCATAAGACACTCATCAGTTTGTAAGGTGTAGTATGGGTCCCTCTGAAAGCGTATATCAACCAGACCAGCTGATGCCTCAACGATCTTGGCCAGAAGCAATCTAATTCTGCACTGTGCAGCCTGCGGGTGCTCTCCAAAGCTTTTGCACTTGCTTTGTCTTGAACAGGCATCAGGATGAAACTGATTGCTTGTGTATGTTGGCACAGCATCTTCCAGGGGTGGAAGTGGACTTCAGTGTTTTGAAGGGAGCAGTAAAATGGTAGCTTTGGAGCCGGTTCGGAGCACCAGACCAGAAAGAGCTTTGGAGAAATTTTTTAGGGTCAAACATCATCATCAATCGAAATATTTAAAATTGGTAAAAGAATGCTATGGTTTTCACTAAACATTCAGTACTAATAAGCTGACCAGACAAGGAATAAGCAATGCTTATCTCTTGTTCGCTTGGCAGAAGTTTGTAATTTCCACGCTAATTAAACAAGTTATTCTGTTCATCAAAGTGGGAACGAGCAATTCACATGGCAAATCCGCAGGCACAGTACAGTGAGCCACCTTGCAGGGATGGTGTGGGCAGCACGCAAATAACCAGGAGATGATAGAGTTCACGCAACTGCTCCACGTTTCAATGAAACTGTCAGTTGTCGCTTGGTATGAAATAGCACTGAAAAAGCGCACATACGTATCGCGGAAAGTCGACATTATTCGCTATGTCATTATCTTAGTCGCTGCGTATTCCAGACCCTGTAATAGTTTTGCAATGGTCTTTGGTGTCGCCACTGCGTGCTATAAAACGATCGTGTGAGAGTGCCAGCCCAATACCTTTTCCGCACTTCAGCAAAAAGAAGAAAATACTTTTTGTGGGTACTTCGTGCAGCAACTGCTGAGGTACTGTTTTTGTTTATTAGTGATAATGGCCCACATCAGAAGACGCACATTTGTACTTGTACAGTCAACGTTCGATTTCCCGGACCATCACGAGACTGCGAAAATGTCCGAAAAATCGGGCAGTTCGGAAAAACAAATGCAAGCAAAAACACACTTTTAATGATACTTTTCGCTGACAGAGAGGGCCGCAATGATAGTACAGGGCTCTCATTGCAATGCAGAATGCATTGTTTAGGTGGCTATGAAAAGAGCTGAAAGATGAAAAAAAAAAAAAAAAAAACAGATGTGGCCGTCGCTACCGGATATGTAAACACATAGGCAAAAAAAAAAAATGCTTATTTTTGTTTGCACAGCGTCACACTTGCTCACGATAACGTATGCCTCAATTTCAGTTAACATCATGTCATCGCTGTGCACTGATGACAGTGTCAGTGCTCAGGCCAACTCCGAGCCTGTTGGCTGTGTAGGTGCTGCTTCTTCGATTTCAGTGTCGGAGTTATCGGAATCCTCCGTAACTTGATGATTCATTTCACTATGCATTTATTCAGCACACAGTTCGAGGTCTTCGCCAGCGTCGGCGAAGCCATCAAGGGTTATCTTGGCTGGAATCGAAACACCAGCAACGCGCAGGTCGTCGAAGACAACATACGCGGGTGGAAGTTCGTCACACACGCTATCGTCCACTCCGGGCTAAATGGCCGTCTCAGCGTCCAGTACGAAGCTCCCGTGGCAAAAACAGCTATGGAGGGTCTGTTGCGTAACCAACTTCCACGAGTCTGCGAGCGTGCCGGCGGGAGACTACATGTCAACAGCGTAGCTTTTCCAACTGCCAGGGCACAGGTACACTGTCTGCATGGTACTATGTGGCCAGTGTTGCCAAATGTTGAAGAGCGAAAATAGCTAGATGGCAACGTAAACGTAGCTAGAAGTCTAGCAAAGAGCTAAAAAGTAGGTAAACTATTTTTTCAAGCCTTTTTAGGCATATTCTAGGAGTGCTACTGCAAGTTTACTGGCAGTTGTGACAGTTTAAAAAGAACTATTAAGTGACCACCTTAACTACAATGTGTCTCGATGGGAAGGGTGCCAGAATCTTGAAAGAATGCCAACATCATCTTAATCCATAAGAATGGAGACATTCAGACTACAAAAATTACAGGCTGATCAGTTTACTGCCTGTTCTCTACAAATTATTTACAAAAATAGTTGATAGAATTAAGGCAACATTACAGGTCAATAAACCAAAAGACCAAGCAGGATTTTGTGCAGGCTGATCTACAATAGGCCATATTTATACTATGAATCAGGTGATAGAGAAATGGATGAAATACAACCAACCTGCATACATAGCCTTCATGGATTACAAGAAGGCGTTTCACTCACTTGAGGCATCAGCTGGGATACAGGCACTACATAATCAGCACATCGATGAGCTCTACATAAACATACTGGAAAAAATCTGCAGCACATCCACAGCCACAATAGTTCTCCATAAAGAAAGCGACAGAATTCCAATAAATAAGGGTGTAAGGCAGGGAGACACGATCTCTCCAATGCTATTCACCACGTGTTTAGAGGAGGCTTTCAGGGCCATACATTGGGTAGAGTAGGGGAAAAGAGTTAATGGAGAGTATATTAGGTACTGTGACTCGTTGATGACATTGTCTTGATGAGTAACTAGGGGGATGAAATAAAGCTCGTGATTGCTGAAATTATTATGCTCGAAACTAATGTAATGTACAGCAGTCCCGGCAGAAAACAGCGCTTCGTGGTAGGTGGAGATATGCTAGAAGTTAAAAGGAATATGCATGTATACTTAGGACAGGTAATAACCACGGAGCCGAATCACGAGCTTGAAGTAACTAGAAAAATA